AAAGAAAGAACAGTAAGATATATAATCCGGTGTTCTTATAGATATTTTTATTTTTACAAAATAGTGCTCAATGTAAATTTACAGAGCATTAATATTAAAAATTGATTTATTTAAAATATTTTTTTTCGCTACACAGTTCTAACCATGTTTCAAAAATGGAAGCTAAAAGCTACGAAGTCGCTTGAGGCTGAAATGGAACTAATGTCTTTAATTTAATTACAAAATTAAATTCGTAGCTTTTAGCTTCCATTTTTGAAACATGGTTAGAACTGTGTGTGTGTGTAAAACAGATATGTTATTTAATAAACAAGGACAAACGAAAGGGTACTAATATAATCAGTACGCTAAATATTTATTAAATATTAATTATTAACTTGATGACAGAAATGAAATAAAGAAGAGAAAGGTTTAAAGTTTAGAATTTTCTGATACGCCTGTGCCCTTCATTAACTTACAGAGGAATAAATATTTAATAAATGTTTATCGTTCTGATTATAATGACAGCCATTCGTTTGTCCTTGTTTTATTAGCGAACCTATCTATTTTACATATTATAAGAAGCAGTCTCTCTCTCTCTCTCTCTCTCACTCCCTTTATATATATATATATATATATATATATATATATATATATATATAGGTGAAAATATATAGAAAATAGGAAAGAACTGGTTAGGTAAATAATCCAAAATTCCTTAATATTTTTGTTATTATTTTTAAAAAATAGTGCTCGATACAAAAGTAGAACATAAATATAATTATTTATTTAAAAATATGATTCCAACTCACGACATAAGAGTTCTCATGTTTCAAAACACGAGATGAAAACTTCAGTATAATTATTTGAATTAAATTGAGTTACTTATTATTAACACCCGACACCCCCTCCTATTTAAACAATTCGCCCTGGCTGTTACCATGTAAATTTTGATTTCAATAATGAATATGCTATTAAAAGACGTAAATTTCAGAAATAAGTTATTCCCAAAAAAATTTGATTAAAGATAGAACAGAGCTTACTTTAACTCGAGTTGGAATCATATTTTTAAATAAATAATTATATATATATATATATATATATATATATATATATATATATATATATCTTTTTCTATGTATTAGTGCGTGTGGATGTACTGGACTTTTTACGTACACTTACACTAGCACACATCAGACTGATTTTACAGAATCTATTTAGAATTAGAAAATATATATGTATCTCCCTCCCTACATTCTTTCTCTCTCTCTCTATATATATATATATATATATATATATATATATATATATATATATATATATATATATATATATATATATATATATATATATATATATATATATATAATAATAATATATATATATATATAATAATAATAAAAAAGGCTTAATATTCCATGGTCATAATTTATTCCATTGGAATAGTAAATACGATCCATTTCATCAAACCTACAAATTCAAAAAGAAAACAGAAAAAACAACTGAATATTAATGTTTAAGCCTTTTTATTATATCCTTACTCTGTCCTGGACATTGAGTTCTGCCTGGATTCTATCCTCTTGGAATTTTTATTCAAAAAATATACATGTATGGGTATGCACCTCTGTATATATATTTTTATATATTTTGTATATGTATGTGTATATTTACCACTAATATTATCTATATCTATATATATATATATATATATATATATATATATATATATATATATATAGGGAGAGAGAGAGATTATTTACAACTTTTCCTCTTCTATATATATGAATAATTTTGTCTTTTTTTTTATTTTGTCCTTTACGCATTTTCTCTGTTTATCGACCAATTGTCCAAAGCTCGCTCTTCAGATTCGCCTATTGTCGCTTCATTTTTGCCTTTTTATATTTCATTTTTCTCACCATTCCACTCTGTATTATATTTTTATTCCTTTACCAATTTTTTTTTTCTTTTTCTTCTTCTTTGGCTTCTTTTCAAGTTCCTTGAATACACAACTTCATATTATAGATAAAAAAAAAACAAAAAAACACACATACACACAACTCGCTGCCCCTAAATTTTTCACTTGCATTCAGAAACATTCTGTTAAATGTTCAGATTATTTCGAATACAATTATTATCCAAAGTTTAGTGAAAAATTTAAAGAGGATTTTTCGGAAAATATCTATTTCTTTCGTTTCTTGTCCACTTCGTTTTATCCTTTCACCTAAAGCAAGGAGATAATGCCACTAAGACGCAGTAGCTTTACAGAAAGTGAATACAAAATAATCGGACTTTCGTGAGGAGAAAAGAGGAAATGGACAATAAAGGAAAAGTGTTCAGGAAGATAGAATTTGGCGATTGATGTTGAATCTAAATGTTTAGAGAATGTAGTTGACAGGGAAGCAAGAAATCTGAAGGGAGTTCAACTGGTGAAAATTGACAGAAAAGAAGCCGGTAGAATAGAAATGGCGGTTGCTTCTAGTTACTTCATCAGTAAAATGATGAGACCTAACTGCCAGTCTAGTAC